GTTTAAACGCCATGAGGATTTATTTATTAATGATTGCAAAGAGTGGGATGAAGGCTCAAAATTGAGATTATTATTACGTAAGCTCGGAGTGTCAGAACACGAAAAGTTCTGTAATTTTATCCTTCCAAAAAAGCCAACCGACACAACCTTCACAGAAACAGTTGAGTGCCTGACACGCATATTTGGTGAACGATCTTCAGTCTTTCACACTAGATTCCAGTGTCTTCAGCTTGTAAAAAAACCTCAGGACGATTATATGACATACGCAAGCATTGTGAACCGGGAATGTGAACGGTTCCGTTTACAAGAAATGTCATCAGATCAATTTAAATGCCTTATTTTCGTATGTGGGTTACAATCTGCCGCAGATGCAGATATTAGAACACGTATTTTAACGCGATTTGAACAAGATCCTAATACTAGTCTGCAATTAGTATCTGAAGAATGCCAAAGAATGGTTAATCTGAAGCATGACACCAATCTAGTAGAAAAGAACAGGGAACATATGGAAGTTAAAACCTTGCAGAAAGCTTTTAACGGAAACAAGGATCAGTACTCTTACCAAAGTCCAAAGCAAACGAAACCCAAAATGTGTTGTTGTCGGTGTGGTAAGCGTCATTCTCATAATGTTTGTTATTTTAAAAAAAGAGTTTGTTTTCGATGTGGTAGATACGGTCATGCTCAAGTTTGTTGTAAAAGGAAACAAAAGATTGTCGATCATCAGAGTAAGGCTCGTAAAGGAAATAAGACGCAGACACCGAAAGAAATCCCACATAATTCGAGTGTCATTCTGACCACAAAAAGCGCTCATTTTTCATCTAAAAGGAAATATGTAACTCTATTTTTCTATTGTAAACCTATTAAGCTGCAAGTTGATACGGGGTCCGACATAACATTAATTTCTAGAAATACGTGAATAAATCTTGGTCGACCTCGATATCATCCTACATTTTACAACGCTAAGAGTGCAACAGGAACAAATATTACTCTTCTTGGTGAAATGCAGCTACCTCTCACATTAGGTGACAAGACTATGACTGGGAAATGTTATGTGTCTGGGAATTGTCATACCAACTTACTAGGTATTGACTGGATGGATAAACTTGGTTTATGGGATTTGCCGTTGAGCACTGTTTGCAATATGATTAATTCACCAGTACCTAAATCGCTGTCAAGTGACTTTAGTCGGTTATATGTAAAAGAATTGCGTGATAAGTTTTCAGACATCTTTGAGGATAAATTGGGACTATGTGTAAAAGTAAAGGCCCGTATATATGTTCAGCAGGAAGCGAAACCTGTGTTCCTTCCAAGGAGACCGGTACCTTATTCGATTACTGATGCCTTGGATGCAGAACTTGACAGATTGCAGAACTCTGGGGTTATTTCTCCTGTAAATTATTCTGCATGGGCAACACCATTAGTGGTTGTAAGGAAATCTGATGGTAAAATACGTGTATGTGGAGACTTCTCCACTGGACTAAACAAAGCACTACAGGACCATTTATACCCCTTACCCATCCCAGAGGATTTGTTTACTAAATTGAATGGGTGCTCCATATTTTCGAAGATTGATTTTTCAGACGCATATCTCCAAGTGGAGGTCGAAGACGACTGTAGATTTTTGCTGACAGTAAACACACATCGAGGATTGTTCCAATATAATAGACTGCCTTTTGGTATAAAATGTGCCCCGGCAATTTTCCAGCAAGTCATGGACACTATGTTAAACGATATTCCGTTTGCCATGGCATATATGGATGATATTATTATTGCTAGTAGAAGTGAAAAAGAACACTATGATCATTTACTAGAAGTCTTCGCTCGTATTAGAGAGTATGGTTTTCGTATAAAAGTAGAAAAGTGTTCATTTTTTATGTTAAGTATTCGATATTTGGGAACAATTATCGATTCTCAGGGACGTAGACCTGATCCTGAAAAAGTACATGCCATTGTGAATATGCCAGCTCCATCTAATGTTAAAATGCTTCAGTCATTTTCGGGAATGATTAACTATTATAGCCATTTTGTGCCAAATATGCATACCCTGCGTGCTCCAATGAATGCACTATTAACTAAGAATACCAAATGGAACTGGAATAAGGAATGTCAAGTGTCCTTCGAAAAAGTGAAACAGATCTTGGCTTCTGATTTATTGCTTACTCATTATGACCCAAAACTTGAGTTAGTAGTAGCGGCAGACGCATCTGATTATGGCATTGGAGCGGTGATTCTTCATAAATTTCCTAATGGGTCACAAAAAGCTATTTTTCATGCTTCACGCACTCTTACTGTGGCTGAAAAAAATTACAGTCAAATCGAGAAGGAGGCTTTAGCCCTAGTATTTGCGGTCAGGAAGTTCCACAAGATGTTATACGGTAGGAAATTTACATTGCAAACTGATCATAGACCGTTGCTGGCTATATTTGGCTCTAAGAAAGGAATACCCATCCACGCTGCAAATCGGCTGACTAGGTGGGCTACTATGTTGCTTGGATACGACTTCGAATTACTGTACAAGACGTCAGCTTGTATGGGTCATGCAGATGGGTTGTCAAGGTTAATTGCTAATAACCGTAAGTTAGAGGAAGATAGCGTGGTTGCTTCTATATCAATTGAACCGGAAATAAAACGAGTGTTCTGTGATGCTATTAGAATACTACCAGTAACGGCGGAAGCGGTTAAAGAAGCTACGGCTAGTGATCCTCTACTCAAAAGAATAAAAGGAGCTGTTTTAAATGGTTGGAAAGAGGATAAGGCTGATCGAGAATTTCACCAATTTTTTCTGAGACGTGAGTCTATATCGATTTATGATAATTGTTTAATGTTTGGCGATCGTGTTGTTATCCCTAAATCTCTTCAGTTTTTTGTGCTTAGACAGTTTCACATTGGTCATCCGGGAATGAACAGAATGAAAGCAATTATGCGTAGTTATGTCTTTTGGCCATTCATGGATAAGGCTGTGGAAGAACACGTATTGAGATGTCGTCGATGTGCCGAAGGTGCAAAAGACCCACCGAAAGTAGAATCCCAGCCATGGCCAGAAACGAAAACGCCTTGGGTTCGACTACACGTCGATTATGCTGGACCAATAAATGGACACTATTTTTTGGTGGTGGTAGATTCATACTCAAAATGGCCTGAAATTTATGTTGTGCGAAGACCGTCTACGTCTGAAACACTGTTACATCTCAGACAACTATTTGGTAGGTTTGGGACACCTAATGTTTTGGTTTCAGATAACGGGACGCAGTTCACGTCGTCACAGTTTGCGGAGTTCTGTAAACAAAATGGAATCGAACACATTAGAACTCCACCGTATCACCCTCAGTCAAACGGACAAGCAGAAAAATTTGTTGATATTTTGAAGCGAGCTCTCTTAAAGATGGGAGGAGAAGATAATGTAGAAGAGGCTCTGCAACGGTTTCTAATTTCTTATAGAATCATACCGAGTTCAAACTGTCAAGACGGGAAATCACCAGCCGAAATAATGTTTGGCCGACCAATTAGAACATTGTTGAATGTTTTGAATCCGAAAAACAAAGTGTATGGACTACAAAAAAATAAGGAAGGGAATTATCCGAAGATTCGAGAGTTTAAAGTAGGTGACTTAGTTTATGCACGTGACTTCCGGCCTGGCAAGCCGAGATGGATATTTGGATGTATTAAAAAAAGGCGTGGGACAGTATTGTATGAGGTTATGGTTGAAAATACACTAATTATCAGACATATCAATCAACTGAGAGACAGAAGAAATGTTTATGAGTCACCTAAAGTCAAATCTTTACCAATCGAGGTATTATGTGATACTTTTAATATCCCACCACCACCACAAGTTGAAATGGGAAAAAATGAACTGAAATCAGATGCCAGTCGAAAATCATCACGTGAACGAAAGCAAACGAGATTTTTTCAAATAGACCAGAAAGCGAAGTCATACGATCAAACTTCGTGAAGGAGGTGTTGTGTGGGCGAGAACGATCGTGATTGGTTGTCTGCTTAGTCAGACATGTAGACAGTCTGACAGGTGTCAGATAAGTTATATATTCTCTTACCCTTATCATTGTGACTCATTCTTATTTACATTATTATTGATTGTTCATTGTTGTGGATTGTGTCGGGTTTTTGGGTGTGAAATATATTACGTTCTGGTCAGGCTGATTTCGTGTTCTTGATCTGAGTTTTGTTGAAGTCCTGTAGGATAGACACTGGGAGGGATCTAGTGTAGATAATCGTTGAAGCGTTACAACATCAGACGAGGTGATACCGAGCGTTATAACAACCGACGACGGAACGTTATAACAGTTGTTAAAAGCTAGTTTCGTCAAAATAAACCAATTTTGTCAGTCAAGTATGTTCGTAACACCATATGATACATGGTGTTTATGTTAGTAATCTTTTAATTAGTTAAACTTTCTCATCAGATTCCTGACGGCAATTTTTCTTTCAGTATCGTGTTAAGTGACAAATTGGACGTTCGAAGTGATACAGTCGAAGCAATACGTCAAGTTACGATATAAATCAAAAACACAGTGTCTATGTTGTCTGTACTGAAATGTGAATTTCAATATGAGCGTAAAATGTGGGTATAAACGTGACTCTTTCTTGCTTCCTCATTATCTCAAATCATCTGTAGACTATGATAAAAAACTCTATGGGAGAAACTATGCACTATAAATCCTGAAGTTCATTTTCGTCTAGTTCAACAGTAGAACTTTGACACATAGTCTCTAAAAAATTTTGCTCGGACCAGTTTATTTCCCACTTTACTCGTAAAAGAAAAGAACAGTTTATGATGTATCCAAATATTAGACACTAATTCATTCCGAGAATTTCAATCCTTACAACCATCTGAACAGTTTGATACATGTTTTCTGCAATAAGATGTTGTGTGCGCATCTCTGTTTGAATTTGTATAAACAGTTATAAAGATGAATGCCAATAAACCTCCGGCATAGATCTATAACTTTTTGTTATCGAAACATAAATTCTAATTGAAGATTGAAATCGTTTGAACTGACCAGCTTTCTCGGTTCTGTGAATTTGCGGATAGGTTGAGGTTAGTTATTTTGTGATATTCTTTAGTTTGATTATAATACGGCGATTTCAATCGTTCTTACCTCTTCGGTATAAGTTATTGTGAGAAAACATTTTGTCCATTTACATAGGCTTTTTAAAGAAATAGAACATTGACTGTAGATGTAGAACCGAATATAATATAACAGGATTGCTTTACGAATGTATCATGCTTATATAATTAAAATAATGTCTGTTCAATATGCCTGCCTTTACTTTCTCAATTTTATCTTAGTGCAAAACATTGGTTGAAGAAATATAGTGTACACAACATTTGCAGATTCTCATATCTTCCCAATCTCTCGATTTTGGGAAAACTTTTTATCAATCTTGTGGAAGTTTTTTGGGAAGCTACAAAAGCCATAAATTTTCTAACAGTCTGTGCTTATTTATCAAAAGAACTTTAGATTTTTGGTTTTCAAACTTTGGGGGAAAACTACGGATTTTCAGGTGACTTTGAGGAAAGCCCACGAATTTGCCCAGAATCCTGCGTTTGGATAGCTTAAACTTATCGCTCATAATACTTAGTTATCAATACCTCGTAGCAATAGTGAATTTGATTGACGTAGTTGATCCCTGTGTAAAATTCTCCGTCAACAATCCAGTTCGTTATATTTCTTCTGACGCTGAATGAACTATTTCGTAGAGAATAATTGTGACTTGGTTTCATTCAGTTAAGGGTGAATAATAAAACCACGCACACTTGGATGGAACGAACTTGAGGCTTTTTAAGGAAAGAAAGGCATCAAACTTGTGGAATGTAAAGACTAGTAGATGAACAACATTGTTCTACAGACCCCTTAAGTGTTACCAAATTTATCTAGCAGCAAACCGTTAATTTGTTTTGTCAGGAAATCTGACGAACAATGTTGATACTGTACCTCAGTATTTTAGTTCTTAACACTTCTGTCATTCGTATCATCATTTAAAGATGTAAGATTTCAAAATCCCAAGATGAACGATGTAGGCAAAAATGAGACTAAAATGGGAAAGTTTCCAAGTTTATTTAGTAAAATTGGATATGGAATGTAAGTTCTTCGTTTTAATTGATTCATTATGTTCGCTAAGACCAACCTTTTATATTCGAGTTCTTGGACGCATGTATTATACAGTCAGTCAGTCAGTAACAACGTGGAACTTCGTACGTACGTACATCAGTTCGAGTTGCCATACCACATTAGCACAGAGATTCAGTTATCGATTCAAATCCCGTAGTGGAAGAGGTAGTGATAGGGAACATTAAGGTTTGATGATGTTATTTAAGGAGTATGGTCCAGTGGAATAGATTTGGAAAGAAAATAAAAGACATGAAGAATACAGAAGATAAGAGTTTGAGAGAACACAAAGAGTGGATGCACCTGCGCCATTGCAAACGATTTTGAGCCATGTCATTCAAGGTCTCTAACCATCGGTTGTATGTATGTATTATACAACTATTCAAGCAAAAAGTATTGGTTTTGAAATTTGCCCAATAAATAAATTCGCAATATATGGCAGTTACTTATCGGTTGGTCACTCAGCTACAACATGGGGTCAGGTACATAATGCATCGGTCCAAGTTGCCATACCTCATTAGCACAGCAAGATAAGCGCCGAATCCATAGAAGTAGTTAATTCAATCGTATTAATATATAAAAGATTGTGTGTAAGGATATAGTACAGGAAGAAAGAATTAGAAAGGTATAAAGTAATTTTAATCTTACGGTTTAGCGGCAGACAAAGAGTGTATACATCGACGCAATTGTGATCGATTCTGAGCCATGTCACCCAGAGTTTCCAACTATAGTCTACGATGGTCACGCGAACCCCAACCAAGTAGCTTGCATCTACCAACATGGCTCAGACCAGAAGTTAGTGACTTCAAGCACTGATGCCACGTTTTGGCTAGGCCGCCCTAACGTTCTTCCAATTATCCCTAACACCGGTTAGCGTTGCACGTCGTGGTAATCGGTGTTCAGGCATACTCAACACGTGATCCAACCATCTCAGTCGATGAAGATTCATAACCTCATCAACTGATTTACCATCATTCTCTAATAACCAGCGTCTAACCTCACTATTACTTACCTGGTGATCCCAGCAGATTTGAGCAATATTTCTAAGGCACCCGTGATCAAATACTGATAGCTTACGCATACCTTCTCTTAATGGTCACGTTTCGCAGCCGTAAAGTAGAACGAACTGCCGCGCAGTATACTCGTCCCTTAATTGATAGGCGGATATCTTGCCTTCTCCATAGGTGACGTGAGTTGGCAAAAGCCAAACGAGCTTTTTGAATCCGTGCAGAGATTTCGTCAGACACCAACCCAGCATTCACTTGTATTCCTTACTATTTATTTATTATTTGAACGCAAATATTGGTACAAAGGGGCACCGAATAGATGTGCGCCACACAAGTCACTTGATTGGTGTGTGCGCTATAATACTGCCCGTGTGCTCAGACCGGAACAGGTGATTCTCTTAAAGGGACACACCCGGAGCCTTCAACCTAAAGGTCTGATCCACAACCTATTGGAAATGTTCAAAAGCATTAAAGTAGATTCACCAACTCTAGCTGAAGTTCAGGAGGCTATAGTTATTCTGAAACGAGGAAGAGCAGCTGGTCCAGATGGATTGGCTCCAGAGGTCTTTAAGAATGGTAGTCCAATTTTAGCGATTAGGTTGACTAATATTTCGGCTAAAATCTGGAAGTTGAATGTTATCCCATCTGACTGGTCACAATCACTGATTGTTTCAATACAGAAGAGAGGGTCAAAATCATCCTGTGACAACCATAGAGGGATTAGTTTGACTAATATAGTATCTAAAATAGTTGGAAACTCTGGGCGACATGGCTCAGAATCGATCACAATGGCGTCGATGTATACACTCTCTTTCTTCCTGTAAACTAAGAGATTAAAATCGCTTCATTTTTTTCTGCAGACTAATTCTTTCTTTTTGTACTATGTCCTTATATGCAACCTTTCTTTTATATATTTTTACCATTGAAGTAACTACTTCAATGAATCCGGTATTCATCTTGTTTTGCGAATGAGGTATGGCAACTTGGACCGATGTACATATGTGCCTGGTCCTAGGTTGTAGCTGACTGACTAACTCACTGAAGGCATTAGATCGTGTGTTACTCAGGGCTAAAAGTAAAATGTGATTTATAGGTTAGTATCTTAGTTATAAAGTATAGCGATCCCCTAATGACATCGGCCATTGCAAAAGAAACAACCCATCAAAACTTCTGTTTAGTAGGCGTCAGTCATTTTTCGTTCTGAATTTCGTTTTCATTCCACACATTTTCGCGACCCTCGTCTATATTGTGATTGAATTAATCGTGTTGTTAACTGTGATAATGTTATCAGTTAACATAGGTTCATATGAAGTCGAAAGTTCGATTTGTTTTCTTAGATGTCGGATGAGTCTTGTACACATTTGTACAAAGGTGCTGTGACTTCAAAAGCTGGGAATGAAACTGTCTTAGGGACTCCCGTACCTGTTGCACACTCAACCGTTGGTTACGATAAATCTTCTAGCAATCACAAACGTGGTCGGATTCATCTAAATGAAATGCAACAAACTTCTCCAGCTTTTGAAAAACAAACGTATGTTATCAATCCGTTTAGAGGAAATCAAAGTCACGACGTCCCTAATTCGAATAATGAAGAATTAAGTATTCTAAACATCGACACAATAAAGGGTAAGTGTCCTAATTTAATTTTTGATTGTTTTGTAGGGCTATCTGATAGTGTATTAGATCGTAGTTTACAGGGTCCCAAATACAATGAAATATCCAAAAAACTAAGTAAGTCACGAGATTTATTCTAGTTTGCTTTCTAAATTAAACCTCACATTACTAGTGACAAACTCTACAAAATTTGTGGTTGGAATAATGGATTTAACGTTTATCTGTTTCTGTCGTATCCAAATAATGCGCTTGATAAGTTGATTAGAAAATAATGGCCATTCTGTATAAAACAAAAGCTGTCTAAATAATAAAATCGTGACGTATCAGTTAGTCGTATGAGTAACACGTCTGTTTTAAATAGACTACAATTCTTTGCCGATTAAAGTTCCTCATACAAAAGAAAGTTGAGAACTAGGCAAATAAAAAATTATAGATATTTCAAAGTGACCTTCTACCAATCAAATCGTTACGTTACTAATCACAATCAATATTCGTGTTATGCATAATTCACTGTATATTTCGTAATTTATATTCTGACTTCAAGTTTTCAATTTATGACCAGACTTAGGAAATAGAAATAAGCAGATGGATACCTTCAAGGTTGAACACTGCCGATCACTAGCAAATCTGTCGACTGATATGGAGGCTGAACAGAAAATACAATTTGATGATGAGGAATTGAAAATGCTGGAAGAAGCTTTCAGCGACTTTGATTGTGAAGCATCTGAAGCAACTGCTCCAACTCGAGTTTGCGAGACATTTGCTCGTCGAGTATCGTGTGATCTACTAGACGTTGAAGAACAATGTTTAAATGGAAATAGCACATCAGTTTCTTCCCTGTCGTCTAATGAAGGTATCTGTGATATTGATGGCAGCAATGCTGACGTTGTCGACCTGGTCAATCTTAGTGTTTCTACCCATTCATGTAATATCCCTCAGGTATGTGAATAGAGCTTCGTTTTCTCATTTATTTTCACGTTCTAAGACATGCACGTGAATAAAAACAGATTTTCATATTTGAATAAATACCTATAAAAGCTTAAAAGTTGAACTATCGTTGATCTTCTAATTAGTTTCTTCGTAGTTATTTTCGAAAAGGCCACTCGATAAATTACTAGAGTACTTTATTTTTCCAAAGTTTTCTTGGTAAAATGTCTTTGAAAATCTAACCTGAGGATCTTTAGTCGTGACCAGAAGCACTTTACCTTATAACTATTTCATGTACTCGATGTTTTATTCTGCGGCTTTCTATGACTATTCCAAAGTATCCTTCCCCCCCCGCATGCCCTGGTACGGCCGAGAGTGAGGAGAGTCCGCTCTCCCTCTCGAAATGCTCTCACATGGCCACGCGTACATAGCCCCTGCCAGGGAAGTCCTACTCACTGCCTTCTCGTGGCGGGGGTGTTGTTTACAAAAATGAGAGGACGAAAAGCGAATGTCTGGCGCTTTAACCGGACCCCAAACCAATGGTGCACATGGGCTCCAGTATCCTGCGGGAACAAATGGCGTATGAACCAATCGTTGGTCACCGGCTACCATGGGACTGCATCTCCTTACGATGCTCCACTGCCTTGTGGATCAGACGTTCAGGTCGAAGGCTCTGGGTGTGGCCCCTAAGAAAACCACCTGGTTCGGTTTGGGCACCCGGGCAGTATCACAGCCCTCACACAAATCAATTGAGATTCGTGTGGCGCATATGTATTTGGTGCCTCCTTGTACCAATACCTATGTGTTAAAATAAATAATAATCGTAATTGAATTTTACGTAAATATCATAACCATAACAATGGATTTAGAACTTCAGCTCGTTATTATTATAGTATGGAGCTTTGGCTTATTTATTTATTTATTTGAACACATAAATATTGGTACAAGGGGGCACCAAATATATATGCGCCACACAAAACAATGAGAGTTTAAAGAGAAGGAGAAAAAAAAGTAATGAACGTAGGGAATTATAAAAAAAGAACAAAAATGAGGGAAACGAAAAGGTACAATCAGAGGAAATCTTACAGTTAAGGAAGAAGCAACCACTCTTTACGAAGAAATTAAACGATAACTTGAATCAGACCACTATTTCATCGTTTTTGTGTATTTGTGTTCGCCTAAATGCCTCCAAACATGACCTCATATAAATATTCTATCCCTTTGTGTATGCAATTTACAATATTATTGTAATTTCTTTCCTCATCTACAGACCACGGAATTGCCAACTCTAGTTGCAGAATGTCATTCGAAGAACACTACCGAAAAGCAAGCAAACTCTTCAAAGAATGAATGTGGCCAATCAGTTTTAAGACCACAAAACAAAAATTATTCACATTTGCCTTGCCTTACTGGTTTATCATCTGTTTTCGAAGTTGACTCAAATGAAACCAAGGTACATTTTACATTATATTTAAGATTGTTTCTGATTTCGTTCAGTTATATGATGTATTAATAATATGAGTAAAGTGGAAAACAGCCTTTCAATACGAAACCATATTCTAATAGAGGAATACAGAAAACAGAGCCATTAAGGTACATAAAACTTGTAAAACGAAGAAATAGTTCCACTAAACGAGATTGTTGAAGCAATATATTAAGTTTTAACATCATCTGTGAACCCACTCAAAAATTAATAATCAACATTGTTTAGCTTTCTCTTGAAAATCTACTGATCTCGATAAAAACTTAAGATCCCCACATTTACCATTACGCATTGCCACTATGTACATTGGAAACATTTAACAAGAAATCATCAATCGCAATAAAGAATTGCCTTCGTTTTTAATCAAATAAGGGTTGTAATGTGGGAATAATTCAACTAGATTCGTCATTAGTTTTATTCTCGAGACATCTCTAAAAGTAATGTATAATGGCACAGACCTTTAGCTGAATATAGGAACATCACATATACTTACTGCACAATAAAAGTCTCTTGCTCAATTTGTCATTAATCATTTGCTGGTAGATGTCTTAAAATATTTAAACTGAAAATAATTTACTAGATTGATTAAAACATGTACCTGTCCATAAATTTGACCTTCAAAAAATCGTCAAGAATTCCACATATCTAACTGGTGTTTAATATGGGAGATGTGCGGAAATTAGTTCAGCACATGTTAATCTAGACCATAATTTTTGCCTTAATGACGTTATTTTAGTACTAAATAACATGGTTTACACCACCTGGGTGTTTGGACTTACCTTACCCGTAAAACCTGTCACCTAAAGCTGAGAATGATTGATGACTCCATATCTTAAATCATCCTTGGATTTGCAGTATTGTTCTCAGTAGGTGACACCTTATAAATAACTATGGATTATGGCAATGTGTTTATCCTTTTAAGTGGTAAAGTTACTTCTCTTAATTAACATTGGCAATCGAGATACATTCTGTTTCACTGGTTCCTCTATTGATTGCATTTTGCTGCCTATGGGATACACTAGTAAAAGCTTATTATTTTATTTATTTATTTAAACACGTAAACATTGGTACACGAAGGCACCAAATTGATATATGCCACATAAATCATTCTATTTGTGTGAGGACTGGGGTACTGCCCGGGTTCCCAAACTGAAGCAGGTGGTTTTCTTCGGGAGCCACACTCCGAGCCTTTGACCTGAAGATCTGATCCACAAGGCAGTTGAGCAATGTAAGGAGATGCAGTCCCATGGTCGTTGGTGACCAACAATAGGTTCATACACCCATGTGCACTATTGGTTTGGAATCAGGGTTTTCCAATTCCCCTGACTGACTGACTGACTGAATTCCCCTAAGTGGATTCTCCGTATCCATCAACCCAGTTTTGTAAACAACAGTAATACCGCGAGAAGGCAGTGAGTTATTCGAATGGAAATTATTTGTTCCAGATAACTTAGAACTCCTTGATCCCAGACGACACCATACATTCCATAACTTAGAAGAATCAACATCCCTCGCAACCGTGAAAGCCGCTCTGCAGCTTTCTGTTGTCTTCCATACAACCAGTGCTACAGATCTTTAATAGAAGCTAAATTCATCTTGATCTAATTATTCAATTTATTGACTGATTTCACTAAACCATTAAAGCTGGGGAATTCCGCCGTATTTTCTCCTAGTATATAAACTGTTTTTACAATTTGGTAATACGTGCCTTAACCATGAGATCTGAATAATTAATTCCCGTGTGAAAGTGTAGATGACAATGATCACACAATTTAAGCAGACATAATGGTGGTAATAATAAATCATACTATACTAATGATAACTAGGTGTTTATTAAGATTATAAATTGTATATGGGATCTGTGTAAATGAATTAACTAATATGGAATTAATAAACTAGATTGTGCTATGTAGGTTAACCGAATTAAATATTTGTTCATAGAACTGAATGGTTTGCAAATACTAGCAAAGGTTTTAAGTGAAAAAAATTAAAAGAATGCGAATACAAATTTAATGAGGATGAACTATTGTGGAAAGTATGTAAAAAAGGATCTACATTGATGTTTGGCTTCATGCGTAGCTAAAGCTTTTGCTTCATCAAATTAGCAACAAATGAATTTAGGAGAATGTGGACAAATTCTGGAATAAATTACAATCGGCATATTATAATTTGAGTAGTAGTAAAAGTATTTAAAAATAAAAATTTCGTCTGCTCGACTTTTATTTTTGTAAAATCACATTCTGTGGCCTAGAGTTATTTTATGAATGTCATCATAGCAGCTTTCATATTGCGGATTAGTGGCTGACAATACTACTGGTTAGAAAAAGGGGAAAGGTGTTCGGTTTGCTACTTGGCGTGGTGGTAGGAAAAAAAGTTCTAGGCACCCGGGCAGTATCACAGCCTACACACAAATAAAGTGACTTGTGTGGCGCATATGTATTCTGTGCCCCTTTGTACCAATGTTTATGTGTTCAGATATATAAATAAGTAATAAATGAAAAAAAGCTACATAGAATTTACATCTATCGATTCATCGTAATTCACTTATTGGGTCCTAGAGTGCTCGATAATATATGGCACAATCAATCAATGTACATGCGTTTGTACAGTGAAATTGTAAAGTCTCGTCCTCTTTCTATCATAAAATCTTTTACCAGTCATGTTCGCTTCTTAAATGTGTGTGTTTGACGGTAGCTTACCTACAACGTACTGTTATCAAAATCATTAAATTGTTTCGATTTTGAGTGTGATAAGAAGACCGTTCGTTATTATTTCCGTTACCTCCGAAAAGTGCTTTCTTAGTTCCACTACATTGAAAATAGCTGGTCATTTATGGTCTCTGCAGTTTGAACTCATAAGTACTAATTCTAGAAACATACAAATTGATTTAAGTATCATTCTTTATTCGATTGATATATTTATAGCTATTAATCATTACCGTTCGGCTGACTTGGTTCATGGAGCTCCCCTTTGACTAAACAGTGATCATGCTGTACTAAAGTTACGTTATTTTCTCCAATGAAATGCTTTTATCAGTCTAGTTGATTTTTAGACATTTGAGTTAAGTTCCACAAAATATACTCTGAACTTTACTTTTAATCACATCAAGTTAACTCGAATACAATTTGCATCAAAAGTAGACGTTTCTTGTCAATTAACTTATCCACCGTAGAATATTAACTGTTTCGTTACTAATAAGGTGATTTTTAGTCAACTTAAAGGATTTTATAAATTTGTTCTGGACAGTTTTTCTTCAGTCTTTAGTAAGGTACATCTTCACTGGATTTCGGATTTCACAGAGGCTCATGAAGTGTTATCTTAAACCTGATTAGTTCGCGCAAGGTCGTCTGGACAGTCTAATTTCACCTGTTTTAGCAAATATAGATAACCTTTACGTAGTCACAGAATTCCTCAGTCTGTTGGTTAGCGTTACGATCTTATACTTTTATAAAAGTATGTTTTTTTTAAAAATATTTAACGTTCTGTTTTTTTTGTATATTCTTTTTAAATATAACAGTTCGATAATTGCGTACAACCTAACTTATGCCCAATAACTACATCGCCTTTAAAACTAAATCAAGCACTAACGGTCTCACCAGTACAGAATCCTATCAGTCGCGCTTCAAAATGTATAAATAATGAACCAATCCAATCTATGGACAGAAATAATAATTTATCAACCCAAACACAAGTGACAGAACAGAACTTATCTAGTAAAAGTTTACATCCTTCGCAAAAATCAACTAATCTTAGTGATGCTAGCAGTTTGAAACTGAGAAATTTGAATTTGAATAAATCAGATATACCACATGTTGATATCAGTTGTCTGCATATGTCCGATATTGACAGTCTGTTAGATATGATTACAACTATAGGTAAGCAGCCGGATGATGGCAAACTGCAATCGGTTTCTCGTCACAATAAATTATCTTCACATTTAGAAAAACAACTAGAGGCTGTTAGACAAGCTCTAAGATCTAATATTCCTAGTAATACAGTTGATTCTAGTAAAATCCCAACTGGTGTAAATGTAAAACAACCAAACTTTTCACAATCCAAAGTAAGCATTACAAATTCTCATATACTAAATGTTAACAATCACATGTTTCTTTAAATTTTTGTGTGCTTATTTAAACGTGTGTTTTATGGTATCTATTATCAGGGATTAATGTTTCTCCTTTTTATTTTGCACACATATTTCAATGTCTACTCTATCACGTCTCACATAAAGTTTTAAAAGCCCTTCCAAATAAGACAGTAAATTTTCAATGCTTATTTACATTATTAATTGAACTCAGTATCATGATCAATGACCCCCTCATCATTACAATTTATCATTAAGAGAGTATTTAGTCACTAGTTGAAAATCACATCTTCATACTTTGATTTAAGTACTCTGTCACTATCTTTCTCAATACGTTTGTCATTCTAAAATTTGTGAACAAACTTGCACCTGATGATTACTGAGCTATATCTTAAATTCTTTCCTGTTTTGGGTAAATATTAATTTTGGAGTTTGTGAAATACTTTCCCCGACCGTAGCTGCTACCTTGACGTGGTGGTCGGGCTTGCCTATCGTGATGACCCAATCGAGCTATATTGGCTGGAACACATGTTCCTGCAGGTTCTATCATGCCAGGCAGGTCGATTGGAGAACGGTAAGACTAAAAGCAGCAACTCAAGGTCTGAGGGCGAAGTCGTACTGCTGACTGTACAGAGGTGTGACAGCAGTAAGGTGTTTCCCTCGGACAACCAGCATCTGCAGCGATGCTGCCTTCTCACAAGGAAGGAAGGGGTTAGAAAAGGTTGATCCTAAAAATGTCACACCTCACCTTACCTCACGGATTTCCGTCTCCGGCGGTAAGGCCGTTTGAAGAACGGAGCTAACACATTAAAAACCTCCCACAAAAAGGCTGTGCGCGACCGGCCTCAAGCAGTTGTCCCTTGGGCTCTGCGGTCACGCAACCAGGTCGTTAAGACCAACACTAATCCGATTTCCTTTTCAGGTTCCTCAAGAAATACCCTTCCACGGTGTGGGCGACCGGGAAGTGATATCAGCCCTCATACCCGTAACAGCACACGAGACCAAGTTGGTCACATTCAAATCCTTCCTACACCTCCTAATAACTCTCTTATCTCCACGACTAACCCTTCTTACGTCCCTTTATCACCTCGCCCCGCTAGTGCGAACGATTCGAGTACGCGGAATGTTATTCCTGGTCTCCTGAAACCACGCTCCAAACTACACGTAGGAGCTTTCAACGTCCGAACACTGTGCCAAGTAGGACAACAGGCTTCCTTGGCTAGGACTTTAGAATCTCGCTCCATCGATGTGTGCTGCGTCTCCGAAACGCGCACACAGGATCCTAGTAGTGTCGTTCATTTGACCTCACCATATCAAAGTAACGAACCAACTCGATTTACGCTTCGTGTATCTGGAAGCCCTGATGCTGCTTCCCGTGGCCTCGCTGGCGTAGGTATAGCATTGAGTCCTAGGGCAGAACTAGCTCTCTTAGACTGGATCCCAGTAGACAGTCGTTTGTGCGCTGTCCGACTTAATGGAACAGTAAGGACTCGAAAAGATAGGGACACTCGTCGTTGCCTCTTCGTCGTCTCTGCCTACTCTCCCACTGACCGCAGCTCAGATAATGTAAAAGATGAGTTTTACAGAAAGCTTTCCGACCTTCTCCGAAAAGCTAGGCGTTCAGATGTAGTAATAGTGGCTGATGACTTGAATGCTCAAGTAGGTAAATTAAGCGAATATGGGAAGACACCTGGCTGGATCTTATGGTGTCGCGGCTCAAAGAACAGATAATGACGACCATCTGTTACAGCTATGCTCATATAACCGCCTGTTTCTTGCAAACACTAACTCTAAGCATAAGGAAAAACATCTTTTCACATGGCGACGCCCGAATTCGTCCCAACGCTGGACCCAAATAGATCACATCGCTATCAGCCACCGGTGGAGGGGCTCGATTGAAGACTGTCGCTCATTCTGAAGCACATGCTTAGACTCAGATCATGCTCTGGTGCGAGCACGTATTTGTCTACGTCTTACTGGACGTAGGAAACATGCTGCAAGGAAACCCCTTAGGGTTCTACTTAATGATAGTCAAGCTAAGAGTATATTTCAGGGACAACTAGAAAAACAGTTAGGCAGCCATGTAAGTGACGCCCACCCCGAGGCAGCGTGGAATGACATCCGAAAAGCTGTAGAAACAGCAATGTTATCTGCAAGTACGGTAAACCATAAGGTTAGGGAGAAACACTGGATCTCAGCAGTATCTACCGCACTGATAGATGCTCGAAAACTCATTCCATCTGGCTCTGAACATAACGAAGAGCGGAGTCAGCTTAAGCGTAAGCTGACTAGAACAGTGGTGGGTAGCGAAAGCAAGAGAGACGGAAAAGGCAGTGGCAATAGGTAACAGCAGGCAACTGTTCAGACTTGTTAAGGAAACCGATATTAGGAATCCAACTGTTAGCGGAAAAATCTCAGAGAAAGATGGACATATTATTCATTCTCAATCCAGCAGACTGGATCTATGGGCAGAACACTTTAGGGATCAGTTCAACTGGCCTTCAGCCACACTTCGGTTTCCCACGATCTCCAGTCGACCTGAATAGCAAGTTGATGTAAATCCTCCAACTCTTTACGAAGTTGAAAAAGCTATGGGAAATCTGAAGCGTGGGAGAGCAGCAGGTCCTGACAGGTTTACCCCTGAGATTTTTAAGGATGGTGGTCCAGTATTAGCAGTGAGATTGACTGACGTCTTAGGTAGAATCTGGGAACTGGATGTAATCCCATCTGACTGGTTTGAATCACTGATTGTGCCAGTCTATAAGAAAAGACAAAAGTCTTCTTGTGACAATCACAGAGGTATTGGTTTGACTAATATAGTGTCTAAAATATTAGCTTCAATAATACTTCGACGCCTGACGAAAGCTCGTGAAGAGCAGACTAGAGAAAACCAGGCTGGTTTTCGACCTGGACGTGGTTGTATAGATCAGATATTCACACTACGTCAGTTCCTAGAACATAGACACACATTCAGACGCCCCACAATAGTAGTATTTCTCGACCTTAAGGCGGCATTTGACTCAGTTGATCGTGAGGTTCTATGGCAGTGTTTGTCACTGAAGGGAGTACCAAAGAAGTACATTAACCTTATAATGGCTCTCTACTCGAACACAACTGGTCGAGTGAGAGCTTATGGCGAACTGTCATCAGAATTGATTGCCTCAAGTGGTGTTCGTCAGGGCTGTCAGCTCTCTCCATTCTTGTTTAACTTTATCATTGAAGTGCTTTTAGAGATGACACTTTCCTCATCTAAATTTCCAGGAGTTGAACTTCTACCGGGAGACCCACTTGTTGACTTCGAATATGCCGATGACATAGTTCTATTTAGTGAAGACTCTGACAGAATGCAGAGTCTGTTGACCACTCTTAGCAACAATGCAAGCATGTTCGGCATGCGATTCTCTCCCTCGAAATGCAAAATGTTGCTTCACGATTGGGTGGCATCGACACCCGAACTAGTGATAGGGAGTGAAGTAGTTGAGTGTGTCGACCGCTTCACTTATCTTGGAAGTCTGATCAGCCTTTGTGGTCTGGTGTGTGACGAAATCTCAGCACGGATACAGAAGGCTCGACTAGCTTTTGCCAACTTGCGTCATTTGTGGCGTAGGCAAGATATCCGACTATCAACCAAAGGACGGGTTTACTGCGCAGCAGTTCGTTGCGTCCTACTTTATGGCAGTGAAACATGGCCAGTAAGAGTAGAGGATATTCGTAGGTTACTAGTATTTGATGATAGGTTGCTTCAAAACATTGCTCGTATATCCTGGGACCACCGAGTAAGTAATGCAGTTGTTAGGAAATGGGTCCTAGGTAAGGATGGCAAATAAATTGAGGAAGTAGTAGGTAGGTGTAGACTACCTGGTTGGGGACCGCGAGATGATAGCAACCGATGGTTAGAGACCTTGAATGACATGGCTCAAAATCGTTTGCAATGGCGCAGGTGCATCCACTCTTTGTGTTCTCTCAAACTCTAATCTTCTGAATTCTTCATGTCCTTTATTTTCTTTCCCAATTTATTCCACTGGACTATACTCCTTTAATAACATCATCAAACCTTCATGTCCCCTATCTCTACTTATACTTTCAGTACCTCTACCACTATGGGATTTGAATCGATAACTGAATCTCTGTGCTAATGTGGTATGGCAACTCGAACTGATGTACGTACGTACGAAGTTCCACGTTGTTACTGACTGACTGACTGAAATACTTTCAGCTTGATTATAACCTACATATTCTTTTACCATGTTTTCACTACCCTATTATTGATATGCTTGTCAACCCTATTTACTGTATCATAATATCGTGGAACAATGTATGAAACTTTTCGATTTCTTATGTTCCTTATTCTTTAGCCAGTATTATTCATACTTTTTTGATTTTACTATTTTGGAGGTGGAATTGTTCAGAGAACACAATGCTCCTTCGGAACCCTCCTACTGAGCTGCAAATATTCTCCATTATCTCATGATTTTACTATTTTTATCATCGTGGCGAATATAATATTATCTGTACCGAATAATTAGAAAAAAAAACAACAGAATTATTGTTTATCAGAGGTCAGCAATTATATATAACTCATTCACTTTCGCCTATTTAGGGACTTGTCACTGTTATAACTTGTGGCCTTGTACCCTGTTAATATATAAGCGTAATGACACCGCCAATTAGATAACAGTGAATTATCAAACGGACCAATAACGCATAAAACCCCTACGAGCCGTCTGGTCTTTATCGTTCTTTACCCTGTCTCTTAAGTCCAGAACACTAATATCAGCCTTTACAATATGAATCATGTATTTCAAACATACTGGGTTTATATACAAACCAAACAGACCACATAGTACCATAAAACAGAAAATAACATTTGTTCAAGACCTAGCCAAAAAGTGGCTGTGAATGTGGGTGCGACGACGGACCACGGGCGGACTCGAGGAAGCTATAAGAGGTTCAGAAGAAGCCGAAGATATCCCATTCAATCACCTTTCGAAAAAATATTCTGGGATTCCTACGTGTAGCTTCCCGATTGGACAATGCTATTAACCTCCTGTATGCGGATTGGAGGACTGTAATGATGATTTCGTTCTTACTAAAAACTATAAATACCTGACAATTTTGTACTATAATTGACACTGTCTTCTCCTTGCAAATTGGAAGGGTTTTGGCGTTCTAGTGCTCAGTTATACGCGGTATATCAAGTAAACAACCTTCTAGATATAACGATGGGAGACTGTAATTAATAGACTGGGCATAACTCATGAACGGTAAATCGTATAACAATAGTTTATGGGTCAAAATAAAGCTTATAATAAGAGAAATATGAATATGCATAATTTAGCTACTTAACAATTATACAATAAAAATATATGTATAGTATTAGTCCGGAAATAGCTTCCAGCAGTCACCATTCATTATTCTCATCGGGATATAACAGTCACTTGAATGTACTTGTATCTTACTAAGATCAAACGCAACTGGATTTTTTGGGAAAGATTGGAACAAAACTAGAATCAGGAAGGGTATAATGTCCCATTAATCCGTGAATTCATTGATTACTGGTCTGGTTTGAAACCGTAGATAGAGGTTTCCAGCTTGGAATCTGCGAAGTATTCCTATTGTATTTTTGGAGTATTTGGTGCATGTGGGACCGAAATCTGCCACAGTGAAACGGTTGTATTCATTTTTTTAATCATTATATATACCTTGGACAAAAGGTCATGGCTTACTTTTTGTTCTTTTATCTAATTTTTTCCCGCCATAACACTAGTTCTGATGGTCAATGACAACTGGTGTTATTTTACATTTTATAATTCTCATCTTGTTAACTTTACATATATCCGTGCTTATGTGTAGTTTGACTTCGAACTGATTCATATTCAAGCTACATTTCACGTTAACGATTGTTTTACTGACATCAATTCAAAAGGTGGGACTATAATTTATGGACGACTTTTAAGCGACGCTAAAGTTACCTTGAGGATATCCACTTACTAACTAGGAGTAAATGAGGGTTGTGAACCAGTGCGATGAATTAGGATTTTGAATTATAATTGACGGTTAGGGTTAGGAATTAAATTTAGGGTTTTCATCACTAACTGATATCAGCTAAAATGCCAAGACGCTATTTGGACGAATGGGTGAGTGAATTTCATGCCAAAATCCAAGACCTGTTATCTTTATTCTGATTGGCTCGTCCATAAATTCTAGTCTCGCCATTCAAAATTTAGAGGTCTTTCTGCTTAGATAAAAACTATGACCACTTTTGGTTAACTGTTTGCAAGTGTTTGTTTACTTCCAAGAATTTAGTGCTCAGCAATTTTTTCTCTAATCGATTTCTTCAGCTTGTTCGTCAATGTTTTGTTTGTCTATTACTTCATGTCATTATTTGGTGCTGGTTGAGGTTTTAATACAAGACGCATGTTCCTCAATGTTTAGAAATACATTCCACCACAACATCGAATCTTTAGTCATATATTTCCTTAAAATTGTTTATTTTCAGGTGGATGCACTAAAGGAAAACATTCCTCCTACAAATACAATTAGTTCTGACCAGAATGTAACTCACAAAAAAAAACTATCTCATTATCCTAATCCGGATGTTCCACATGTGCCTACGAATCCGTCAGCTAAATCCCATTCGATTAATGCTACAAACGAGAATCCATCAGTTCATGACGGATCTGCAATCTCGCGAAAAGATTCTTTCTCTCCAGAGGTGTTAAAATCTCAAAACATTCCTATTCTATCAAATACTAACTGCTTAATTTGGGCTGGTGCAGTTTGTGGACAGATACAGTAAGTGAATTTTTTTATTAAATCCCATGTGAACTCTACCCTGGAACATGATGTATCTGATTTTCTTCTGCAGTTTGAAGCACATCGAATGCAAATATTGTGTGTATGTTATATTACAAGATCTTAATTTTGTCATTTACATCTTTTCATTTCCTAACACTCAAGTCTTCTCATTTTCGATTGATTTCCACTGTTACCCTGTGGCAAATTACCAGTTCAGATCAAAGTCTGCGTCCAGACTGAATTGTATTCTTTATGACCATGTTTTTAAACAAATTAACTAACCAATTTGTAGAAATATACACATCCAACAGTAGCAAGGTGAAAGTATGTACATCATGACTGATATTTTAACAAGTTAATCGCAAATGTTTGTTAAATAATGCTTGCCACTCCGAACATACTGAATTATTCTTGTGTTCTGAATGGTGGATGAGCTATTTTTGTCTGTAATTGTAAATACTTAGTGTTACGGCTGCTTTAATTCCCAGGTATTATTGTCTAACATCTGGAGGTTAGGACTATCTCTTTATGCTTTCAGAGATGACTTTTTTATCTGTGAATTTACGTGTACACTTCTTATTTGAAACAGTTTGTGTTTCTATCTAGTATAATTAAATGTTTTCTTTTGTAGTCAGTCTTTATAAATTTATATATTTCAAGTATTTTAAATGTTTTTACGGACAAAACAGATATCATTTACTGATTCATCAAAACTGTCATATTCAGGGTTTACTAAGTAGACTGTAATCGAACTCTGTATTACAATGCTGATACTTCATAAATTCTACGAAAATAGTTCAACGCTGATTGATAGCATAGAGAATGACAATTACTTCCTCTTAATTCACTACTCACTGTACAAAGAGTGGTAGTAGCTAGATATATTTGTTGACATACTCTAAATTACACTATGGATTTGTGTCCCAGATCCTTTGTGTTAAGGAAGTTCTCTATTACAACACCAAACATTTTTAATTTCCTGAAAAGGAGAGCAATATACACTTGTTTGCTTACTTAAATTAATATGTCCCAAGAACCGACTTTTCCCTGTCTTTTTCCTTTCGAGTTTTTTTCTTCATATATAGTGTATCATTTTCTATCTCAAAACCACACTGGTCAGCGAAAAATCTGGACAATGTGTAGATAATTTTCATATTTGTCGATTATTACCTGACTTTGTGAATATATATATATATATATATATATATATATATATATATATATATTGCTTTACTTAAATTATCATGTTCTTTTTCCTCGACAACAAATTATAATTTTATTGTTATCACTTTTTTGCTTTAGTCGACAACATTTCCTTATCAAACATCAAATGGACAAACCGACTACCATATCATTTATCGTTCACCCCAAATCAGAAGTGTTCAAAGTAGGTCTGAAGTATTGTTACCTTTTTGGTTAAATTAAATCAGATGTGGAAATCTAATTTTTCTTACTTATATACTTCTTTATAAAGGATAAGTTCAGTTATTCGACGCTTAATTACACTTTATGAGGGGGATCTGTGATATTTCTCCTTGTTTGTCTAAACTAAATTAAGCGAAGTTGAATCACTTCAAGTTACAATTCGAATTCTTTAGTAATTTAGCCATCACCCAAATGGCTTAGACAGGATAAAACACAGAATTTTATTTATATTTAGGGAATTAATTAGCTTGTTACATTTTTGTAAAATTTACAGAAATTTAGTGTTAACAACTGTCCTTTCCCTATCCATTATAGTCATTGAAATTATCTATGTGTAAGTTTGGTTATGTGTTTTAATCACTGTGATGATTCTTTACCCCATTTAAATTAGAATACATTTCACCGTTAAACACAATAAAAAATGCTGTGAAAAAAAGTTCGAGAAAATTGTATAGAGCACTGTCGCGAATAAAACTTATTTTAGCAACCTGGCTCGTTAAAAATCTAAAGGTATACTCAATAGTAATAAACAATACTTGTTTGATATTATAAAACACGTCTTGTTTCATCGAGTGTTCACTGATACTTAAATTTTCAACTTACAGTTTCCCGAAATATCATTGTGGTTCAGTAGATATTTCTCCTCTCTGTAGGGAGTTTGTGCGGATTGTTGATTTTCCGTCCTTATATTACGGACTGAAACTATTTAAATAACCATTAGAAACTAAAAAGCACTACACAGCTGCTTCATTCTAGTATATGACTCCTCAGGAGTACACATCTTCTACCCTACTGAGAAAATCGGCCTTCGGATTTTGTAATTTTGGAGCAAGTCTCTAATACTTGAACCACTGATTCACCATCAAATGGTTTACCCAGTCACCCATAAATGATAGCGGAAGATAGTTGCACAATATCGCAAACTGACCGAAGTTAGGTCCTGGCTCGGTTTTCTGAAGGTTAGATGCTTGCTTCGAAACCTGGAAGGTCCTTGTTTCATTCCCTGACAGATATTTTGTTGCGCGGTACAAAGTCATATAATAGAGCGAAACGTCTGTTTAATGCTTTCTGGTTTTCAAAAGTTGCCTAATTAGAGTCAATCCGCGATGTAAACTATAGATTCAACCTGGTAGATAATCTGCCTTCTCACAATGAATATGAATTGAATTGGTATACGTTACTCTGTAATTAGCTGTTGTTACCTAAATATTATTGTAATCCTGAAATATTCGTTGTGAATTGTCATGTATTTTCAGTGTTCCGGTTGTTTATGTTCAGTTGTTATGAAAACAATAAAAGTGCGAAAGAACTACACACCTCACTCCCTAGTAAGCATTGAAATTCAATCAAGGTAAATAAAGTAATTTGGCGATCAGTATTGTTGCTAAGTGTAATGTTATTTAGTGAATTGATTTACATAAATCTGTTGGACTATTTCTTTCATATACTTTACACACAGTTATGCAGTCTTCATTTTATCAAGTAATGCCGTCTAAAATTAGATTGAAATCTAGAAAACCTTAAGGTAATTTAATCAAATTCCTATGATGCCGACAAAAATATATTCATCCAATGTCATCAATAAAAATTACTGTTTCGATCTTTTCCTTGTATAGTTTTTATATCAGCTGAATATTTTGTTTTAATCTTTTTATTGAGACAATGTCATACCTTATTTTGTCTCAGTATTTTTTTACTTCTGTTTAATGCTTTTCCTTTTTTCGTCTTCAAAATTTCATACAGCTTGTTGACGAAAATGGTTATTTGATTACAGGAACATCTCATATTTACTTACCACCAAATCTTGAATATGAAGTAAGTGTCGCTTACGTTGCAAGGCATCCAGTTTCTTGGGATTTCGGACATTTACTTATACGATCTGAAGCATTAAAAACTTCCACTTATAAAGTAAGCGATAGACTAAAAATTACATGTAATATTTTGTCTTTTTCTTTGCTTATTTATTGTTCTTACCGTTCGTGGTTTGACTTTTACCCTATAATCGAGTGGTTTTAAATTTATCATTTTTGTAAAGTAAGAATAATAATTTTTGTGAGATGAGGTGAATTCAGTGTGTTTATGAGTAAATTTAGAAAATAGGAAATGAGATGAGTTCACTTCATTCCACAGTACATGTTGTTAGTGATTTACACAACTTTATAAAGGAACTAATTGAATTAGCAGTATAGAGTTGTGGAGATCGTTGAATTTTATTGATTTCATGAACAGATTTCGATTACACAACCATTAAAAATCTGGAAACAAACGACCGTTTTTTCTCGTATAAAAACTCAGCAATGGGTGTCCACGACCGGGAATCGGACACAGATACTTCGATTATTCATTTGAATGCCTAATCTATAAACCACTCAGTTCAGGTCGAATAGTGTGCAAGCTTAACTTCATTAAATCCGCAATATTGCGTGAGTGTTTTCCACTGTCTTTAGTGGTTTACTCCACACACCCGGCAGGGTTTATCTCCCCTGAACACGACTCCTCATTAGAACTGGAAATTTCCTCTCGAACCTAGTCCTTAGTAAGTATATGATACTCGTCTAATAATAACAAAATATCAACATATCACACTTGATATCAGTAACCTTATGATTATCGATACAAAATCATAGTTCTCCTACTTCAGTTTGTCAACCCTACTCAGTAAAACTAATTTCTATTTGTAAATACACTAGTTTGATTATTTTAACATTTTATTATTAGTAACTTTTGGTATGCAATTTAGTGGCATATTTCTCAATCATTGGCATTGTAATAAGTCATTTGAAATATTAAAACGGTAAATTGTAGTTCATATTAAATCCGAGCAAATGTTTGGTATCTGCATGGCTTATTGCCGAAGTTGTGATTGAATATCGGAATAAAAACTAGACAATAGGACTTGCTTACACATTTCTCCCAAGTAATTACCATTTTATCGCCTTTATATTTTAGGTTACGTAGTAATTTTTCACAGAATTTTCACATTTATATACATTCTTGTCTTAGGTAAGACTAATTGGTTATACAAATTCCAGTGAATTGGTTTGTTCTTGTTGTTCGAAATTAAGTCCCAATGTTTATTGGATTGTTGCATCTAAAATAGATCCCACTTCTGATTCAGTGGTTAAAGATAATGAAAAATCTCATGAAGCAAGTCTACGTTCTGTTAAATATGAACTTACTTCAAATGTATCTGGATGCTCGTTGGCAAGTATTAATATCAGTAATTATGGCTCTAGATCTGCTTGGGTCTGTGCTCGTGTTGATTGGGTTGATCGAAAAACCTCCAGTCAAAATGAACATGATGATACTTCTGAATATGGTGTTATTATTGAACCTAAAGCTTTAGTTATTGGGTCGAAACAATCTCAGGTTTATCACGTTTTATTGTCTTATAATTCCTTCTAAGAGTAAATTGTTTATCAAAAACTAGTTGTTTTTTAAAATGTCATTATAATTACTTTCAATTTCTGTTTTTTAACTATAAAGTAAAGCAAGCATTTTAATGGTAATTATTTGGTCTCATGCATGTTCTGTTTATCATCCTTAACCCACTAGCTATTATGATGCATTCGTTAGGTTGATGGATACAGTTGTGTTGTTAGAATTAGACCTTGGATTTGACAAATAACCGGTAGTTTGATTAGGTGGTAGGTTATATTGTTCGCTTTGATTATTTTATCACACCACATGGTTCACATTAATGTTATAGGAATCATAATTAGTAGTTGCTTTCCTCAAGTTATCACTATTAACAATTATTTCAGTGTTACGCATCATCGTAGTAATCACTAATGTTTATCTAAAAGATTATGAAATTCTTTTTTTGAGAAAAAACTTCATTTATTCATGTTGTAGAACAGTTTTGAACACTAAAACACTCATAATTCGTAGTTTGTGAGCATAATGTATTAATCTGAATGGATTAGGAGTTCGCTGACTGTAAAGCCATTATGCATATAGAGTAGTAACTTGATTTCTGCTATCCAGTTGAATTTTTTGCAAAATTAGGAATCATACTTGAAGAAAATAGTCAATCCATTCAGTTTGAAACTCAGAGTGAAATGAAGCATGTTTTAAAACAACCAGGAATTGTAAATACTCTATTGATTACATAGATGAAAGTACAGTACTAACATTCTCGTTAAAGAAAGTCAGTTACTTCATAAATAGTTTCTTCACATGCATATCAACTGGGTTTTATGCTCAAAATAAGAATTATATTCTGAAGGGTTGAAAAACTAATATTACCAAAATATGTACTAATAGACAAGTTTTTAAAAGATTGTCGATCTTAATAAATTACAGTTCTGTTTTTCATAGCATTTTTATAATTCGAAGATTTAAGTGGAATAAATTTTAAAAGAATTTCCCATGTTACTGTTTACCATCGATTTAAATGTAAAAACAAAAGAATTGGGAAGTATGTTTGAACGTCAGAAAGTTGAACACTGAGTGCATTTACAATAATTACGCTTTTTATTTACTCACAATAGAAGTATATGAATAAATTTTTGTAAAACCCCATAAAGTCGCATATTTAGATATTTCATTATTTTATAAGTAATGGGACATTATCTCACAGATTTTTGTTATTAAATCAGTAATTTATTTTACTTTGTTTTTTACAGAGCATTTTTATTACTTTAAGGCATGGTGTAGATGCTGCACGTATAGTATTTTACCATGGAGATGAAGTTGTTCGTTATCAGTTTCGACGATTGTAAGCATGATTCGTTTAATTAAAATGATACTTTTGAGAATTGAATCATTTTTACTACTGTTTTGTCTTAATTCCCTGTTTTTTTGTCATGTGTTATATTTTACTTTATGATATACTTCTGTCTAGTTTTGTTAACGAGTAACTGTCCCGCGAATTCATTTTTTTTCTCGAATTATATTGCCCATACTCGGTTGTTTCTACTGATACTGAGATAATTATACTAATTTTACTATTCTTGGATTTGTCTGGACAATTTCATACGGCTGTGGTATTAGAACGTGACAACCTGAACCGATACAAATATATACCAGGTTCTGTATAGCATTCGACTGCCAAACAGCTGTTCTTTAAATCTTGTTGCGAAGTTGGTTTGTGATGTAATTAAGAATTAGTGGTATGACCGCATAAAAATTTCCTTCATGGACCAACTAGTAAAGTAATAATGGTTATCACATTTACCAATAACTCACTAATTCAAATGAGATCATGCCCAAAGTTTTTCACCGTCAATGTTCTGAGTGTGACGTTTGGGTCTTGATCCAGTCGAACCAAAAGTCTAGTCCTGATTTCAGCATCTTATGATGATTGAAGAGGTTTGATGAATATTAAGCATTTAAATTGGTCTTCTGTCAACGAGCGTAACTTGAACCGTTCACATTCTCTGTTGACGATGTCTGCTAAAACACCATATTCATCGGCTTCGCGTTTCACCAAATTTAGACACTGATGTTGAATACTAAACAATGAGGAGGATTCACCGAACATCTCTGACAATTGAATTATCGTCTCCTCGAAACTGAGCTCTCGAGGTAACTTAGGCAATATATGGTCAGCATAGCGCGCATGTTCATTAATTCCTAACTTACGTACCAACAGTCGAGTCTTCCACGCGTCGTCTTGGTTACAGAATTCTATTCTAAATGTATCTTCCCAACGTTTGAACCACATGAGAAAAGTATTTCCGCTTTCGGGATCATAGATGAATTCTGGGATGCTGCTAGCAACTGCATCACAAGACGTACTTGGAATGGCATGTGAACTCGAGCAGTGGAAGTTGAGCTGTTGAGTCAGAGTCTCTAACAACCGCATTTGTGCATCTAATTTTTGTCGCTGTTGTTGTAGTATTCGGTTAAGCTGGTCATCTGATATGGACATCTTGAACTTATTTTCCTTTTTCCCCGTCGCCACTGTTATAATTCTCTCGCTCTTACGGTTTTAACCCAGCTATTACTATTGCTTAGTATTCACGGACACAGATTCACTCGATAGGGCCCCCAAATCAGAACACGGTTGAGCAGGAAGGAGATTATACTCCAAATAACAAGGTTAGATGGAAGCAAGAAGCACAAAAGGAAAACCGTTAGTATATTTATAGTTTTTACATAAGAAGAATCTAGTCTTCTCCATGTATCGACTAGCGCTGATTGGATAAGAATCAGCCAATCAGCGTGCGCCAAAGCAATCGTGCATGGAGCATGCTTAAATCCAATCTATGTCCCGCTAACACCGTCTATAGATGGATAATCCATTTCTAGCATCTTCGTAAACTGATAAGTTATGTGTTTCGAAGCGTACTTCTTATTCATGATAATTTCAATGTGTTACACGAATGCTGTTTTCTGTCCAGTCAATAATTTAGCAGTATTGAGTTTCTACTGTAACTCTACCAGACATTTTTTCCGTAAATCGATAATGTATCATTTGAGATCACATTTAAAACTCGATTCTATCACCTTTTAAATGAAGAAAATCCAAATATTAGTACTAAAATAGGAGTCTTTGATTATTCACATTTTTGACTTAAAGATGCTTCATAAATGAATAAGTGGAATAGCATTATTTGTAAGGTTGTGGTTGTAGGTAGTCGACAGAAAATCCTTGATCTAGGTTTCGTGCTATTTGGCACTCATCAACAAGGTGGATCTGTAACCTTGAGGGAACTGATGCTCCTTGACCGATCCTGTCTCGTGTCATCCAGCTTCACAGTCAGAGATGTTATCATTGAGCTATTCGGGCTGTGACTGACCTGTAAGACCGATGTATTTATAATTATAATTTACAATTGTAAATAGCTTTTTTTGAGAAGTTTAACTTTTTTAAACTGTAATCTCTTGATATTCATTCTTTCTTTCCTGTAAATATTCGTTTTTAGTAATGAGCTTTGTATTCTGTCTTCTCTGTTAATATGTTATTTCCAAGTTTTTGACGCGAAAATTACTTGTTAGTAGTTGTAATGGGAACTCTTCGTCTTTATAATACATAAAGACTTTATATTTGAAGAGACTCCAAATTCATCTTTTAGAATTTATGTAAATACCTTTTTAATTCTCTGATAATTAAGCTAAATCGAATTCAGTTACAAACAGATGAACACGGAATTCAGACATTATTCCATTTGTATGAGATCAAAATATATTAGTTCTGGTTGTTTTAATTGTTAAAAATCTGTGCTTTCAATTGTGTAAAGTCGTACAGGGGTCTCAAGCTTTCATTAGTTTGTAAGGGAATCACAAGATTTTTCAGTTACTGTTCAAAAAGGTTTCATTCCCATTGGTAACGGTAACGATGAGTAATTTTTTTCTAGTTCAACTTTTCACATGACCTTCCACTTATTCTTTGTTACTAGTCTTAATTCGCTAGTTTTCCATGTGTCTCAAGGTCATGTTTTGCTACTATGTAATCGGAGTTATTTCATCACAAATTATTTTGCTTGAATATCAAGTTTTTCAGCATTCTTTCGGTGTGGTTGACCTGGAAGTGATAACCATCCTCATACCTCTAACAGCACTCAAGACCACTGTATATTCATAATCAACCTCCTTCAATTCCTATTATTCCTCCTACATCTACTTTCAAATCTAAACTTCCTCTTTTGCTTTCCTCATCAAGTATCACCATAGCCAACGATTCTAGAGCTCAAAACACTGTCCCAGGTCTACTGAAACCTCGTTCCAAACTACACATTGGAGCCTTCAACGTACGAACACTATGTCAAATCGGTCAGCAGGCTTCCTTGGCTAAAACCCTAAAATCTCGTACGATTGATGTATGCTGTCTCCGAAACACGCATACAGGATCCTAGCGTGGTCACTCACTTGACGTCACCTCGACAAAACGGAGAGCCGACGAGATACACCCTCCGTGTATCTGGCGACCCGATGGCTAGTTCTCGTGGACTGGCAAGTGTACACATAGTACTAAATACGAGGGCAGAACAAGCACTATTAGAGTGGATCCCCCTTAACAGTCGTCTGAGTGCTGTTCGGCTAAACGGCTACGTAAGAACTCGGAAGGATAAGGACACACGTCGTTGCCTTTTCGTCGTTTCTGCCTACGCCACCACTGACTGCAGTTCAGATGAAGTGAAAGATGAATTTTACAGAAAACTCTCTGAACTTCTTCAGAAAGCTAAACGTTCAGACATAGTACTCATAGCAGGCGACCTTAATGCCCAGGTAGGCAGCTTAAACGAAACAGAAATACATTTAGGTGGGTATTTTAGTATTCCGGCAAAGCGAACAGATAATGGTGATCGTCTACTGCAACTGTGCTCAGACAATCGTTTATTTTTAGCAAACACAAATTTTAAGCATAAGGAGAGACATCGTCTGACATGGCGACCCCCTGCACCAAACCAACGATGGACTCAAATAGACCATATTGCCATCAGTCATCGTTGGAGAGGGTTGATAGAAGATTGTCGCTCATTCTGGAGTGGTTAAAGAACCAATAGATTTCTTCTAAGTCGATTGCACTGATGGGTTCTCGTAAACTCATCCCATCAGGATCTGAACATGATGAACAGCGAAAACAAATCAGATCTAGGCTAAGCACATGTCTAAGGAACGCCCACGAGCAGCGGTGGGTAAAGAAAGGAAAGTGATGAAAAATGCTGCAGTAAGTAACGCAGGACAGCTCTACAGAGTAATAAAAGAAACAAATTAATAAGTCAAGTGTAAGACCGTTTCGGAGAAAGACGACACTTATCTGCTCATAGTCGAGACGTTTAGATCGATCAGCGGAACACTTTAAGGAGCAGTTCAGTTGCCGTTCAGCTACTCTACTACTACCCAACATTTCCAAGCATCCTGAGTGGAACATTGAAGTAGATCCCCCGACGCTAGCTGAAGTTCAGAAAGCTATAGCTAGTCTGACGCAAGGAAGAACAGGTGGATTGGCTCCAGAGGTCTTTAAGAATGGTGGTCCAATTTTAGCGATTAGGTTGACTAATATTTCGGCTAAAATCTGGAAGTTGAATGTTATCCCATCTGACTGGTCACAATCACTGATTGTTTCAATACAGAAGAGAGGGTCAAAATCATCCTGTGACAACCATAGAGGGATTAGTTTGACTAATATAGTATCTAAAACACTAGCCTCGATAATTATCGGACGCCTAACTAAGACTCGTGAACTGCAAATACGAGAGAATCAAGCTGGCTTCAGACCTGGTCGTGGCTGCATAGACCACATATTCACCATTCGTCAGGTTCTAAAACACAGACATACTTATCGGCGTCCGACAATGGTCTTCCTTGACTTAAAAGCAACATTTGACTCTGTAGACCGAGAGGTTCTGTGGCAGTGTCTGTCATTTAAAGGCGTACCTCAGAAGTACATAAACCTTGTGAAGGCTCTTTACTCGAACACTACTAGTCGAGTCAGAGCTTATGGCGAACTGTCATCTGCTTTCGCAACCTCAAGTGGCGTCCGTCAAGGCTGTCCACTTTCTCCATTTTTGTTCAACTTCATCATAGATCTACTGATGGGAATAACGCTCTCATCGACTGAATTTTCGGGTATTGATCTCCTACAACGAGGTCCACTTTTCGACTTAGAATATGCAGATGATATAATCCTACTTGGTGAAGACGCTGATAAAATGCAGTCTTTTGATAGCACTGAGCAACAATGCCAGAATATTTGGGATGCGCTTCTCTCCCTCCAAATGCAAGTTGTTGCTTCAGGACTGGTCTGTGTCAACACCTGAACTAAGGATAGGGAGTGAAGTAGTCGAACGCGTTGACAACTTCACTTATCTTGGAAGTCTGATCAGTCTTGATGGGTTGGTGTCTGACGAAATCCCAGCACGGACCCAGAAAGGTCGTTTGGCTTTTGCCAACTCACGTCGCCTATGACGAAGGCGAGATATCCGCCTATCAATCAAGAGAGGAGTTTACTGCGCGGCAGTTTGTTCTGTTCTGGTTGCAAAACGTGGCCACTAGGATAAGACGATACTCGTAGGCGTAGTGTGGACTACTTACTTAGACATAAGCCGTATACGATGTTAGTCGTGAACAGAATGTCTAGCAGGAAAGAGACAAGAAGATCGAACAGTAAAGAATGAAGACAGAATGCAATTTGTATGAAAATGCAAGAACAATGAATTCTGAGTCGTTTTGAGACAATTGATGAACATTTTGCAAATTGAGCATTTACTATATGGTTGTTAGATTTTATTAACAATTCTGTAATTTGTCAAATACATTCTATTTTCCCCTACTCATGTTCGTGTTCACTACACTACTATTTGACCACAGGTGCCTTAGAAATATTGCTCAAATCTGCTGGGATCACCAGGTAAGTAATAGTGAGGTTAGACGCTGGTTATTAGAGAATGATGGTAAATCAGTTGATGAGGTTATGAATCTTCATCGACTGAGATGGTTGGATCACGTGTTGAGTATGTCTGAACACCGATTACCACGAAGTGCAACGCTAACCGGTGTTAGGGATAATTGGAAGAACGTTAGGGCGGCCTAGCCAAAACGTGGCATCAGTGCTTGAAGTCACTAACTTCTGGTCTGAGCCATGTTGGTAGATGCAAGCTACTTGGTTGGGGTTCGCGTGACCATCGTAGACTATAGTTGGAAACTCTGGGTGACATGGCTCAGAATCGATCGATCGATGTATACACTCTCTTTTTTCCTCTAAACTAAGAGATTAAGATCGCTTCATATTTTTTTCTTCAGAATAATTCTTTCTTCCTGTACTATGTCCTTATATTCAATCTTTCTTTTATATATTATTACCATTGAAGTAACTACTTCAATGAATCCGGTGTTCATCTTGTTGTGCTAATGCGGTATGCCAACTTGGACCTATGCACATATGTGCCTGGTCCTATGTTGTAGATGACTGACTGCATTCTTTCGTAAAGTTGGATTATTGTTAAAGTGTAGTTTTCCAGTTGCCGTTCTTTCGAGTGCCAGAAAGAACTAATTCATACTAGAGTACACTCAATGTTTCAGTATTTAGCGATTACCGTATCCGCGTAATGAATCTCAATCACAAGATATAACAATAATATATTCAAAGTTTATTCGCAATTGTATGGAGGAAAGTCGATTGCTAAAATTATTGATCCTTTCGTTTTTTCTCCAGATGTGCTTGTTCTGAAGAGTCCATTTCAAAATTGAGAAAACGATCTAGTCACAGCCGTCATGATAATCGTTTACGATTATCAGAAATTTTGAAAGATTTTGAATTTGAACAATCTATCCAAATCGGTAAGATGTTCGTTGCGCTTTTTGTGCTTTATAATCAGTATATAATAAAAGATGGTTTTTCAGTTAGTTAGTTATAAATAGTATAAAACTGATGTGAAAATTTATCATCCCATAGTACCATATATTGCACACTTAACACAGCAAGAGATAATTCACCATATGATTATCAGATAAGCCGTTCATCAGGCCTGTATTTCGTGCAACCGATGGAACTTATGTTTTTTTAACATATTCAAATCTCCTGAAATGATACGACGAGAATTTAGTTAAGATGTTCTTTTATTCTATGTAGTTGAACTGCCTCCTGCATCCTTCAGTGAACTTCGACCACAAGACTGGCATCAGGCCTTTATGAATCAAGTAAATCATCGTGAACATATGCTCCTTTACATTTATACTTCAAAACAAAATCAAAATTCTAGGAATATTAATCAACGCAGCGTAAATTTTTCCAGTTCAGTATCGGAATCAGTACTTGAGAATTCATTGGCTAGTGTTTTCGTACAACAAGATGCTTTTAAACGTCGAAATTCTATTGATCCTATTCATCGTGAAAGTTCTGCGACATTTTTATCAAAGCCAATATCGAGAAAGGGTAGTTTGTGTGAACCTTATTCGACAAATACCTTAACTCCTAATATTTCAACTGGTCAAAGTTCGAAAGGAAAAACGTCACTTGTTCAACTGCCAAACTTGGAAATAAACCCTCCATATACTTTGGTGTTTCCACCATGTACACCTAGTTGCTCAACAGAAGGTAAATTATCATTGCTTTTTATTTTTGTGCATTTTTTATGGACTAGTTTTTGTCGAACTTTACTCGTAGGTATTTATGCTCCCCAAAGCATTTAGTCTTTTGTTTCAATAGTAAATCTTATAAACTTTTGGTCGTAATTCCATGTTATCTATTGAGTTTTGAAATAAACCTTTTGCTTTGGAGTGAGTTCAGATTAAAAGAAGTTTAGTTTAGTTTTAGCTTAAATATGCGGAAAAAAAGGGAAATCTCATGAATTTACAGCTATTTGAAGTGATTTTCACTGATCTTTTAAAGTATAAAGGAGTTTTTTTTTTAATGAAAATATTTTAGATTTTAAGGTTTTATCGTGTTTCAGTGTACTTCTTATTAGTGGCGGTTGGAGTATAACTAACCTATTAGAATATTGCAGAAGTCAGTTGAGTTCCCTCAGTGTCACAATATCCTTGGTAATTTTCAAACAATGCAAGGAAATCATTGTTAAATTGCCTTTATTTTTTCTTGTTACTAGTATGGGTTTCTTTCAGTTTATATATTTATTACCTACATAGTGCATAGATTTCTTTGTAGCATAATTATTTCTCATTGATTTTCACACATTTTAATTTCCATTACTATGATCTTTTGCTTCTCATACGCTGATTCTGTGGTATCAATACACACTGGTTACCGCAACAACATTTTAAATGTACCAACCTATGTGTTAAATCATTTGCCAGCATTCACTTAGCTACGTAAAAGCATTTTGAATAACTTACGATCATAAATCTCTTTTACTTTCAGAGCACTAATTATAGATTAGAATTAGATTCATTTTTTGGTCTGTTTATACAAATAAATTGGAGCACACATGTTTTAACAACTAGGCTATAAACCACTAGTTCAAATCCCACTGTATGTACATACGTTTGTCTATGACAAAGCATTATCTCTTAAAAAATATATTATTAGCAGCCTATACACAGGAAAATACTGTTGCAAATTTTCATTGAATTACTATCTCACAACAGTCTTGGTTGAACTCCACTGGAGCAATTTGTTATGGAATAGATGGAAAGTGGCTAGTTGTGGAATACAGGATGCACGTTAAGTTCTATTCGAGACTCATCAGCTGGAGTCAGTAGCTAATCAGGTTACTCTATAGTGTTTGGGGAAAATGGTACTGGGTTCGAAGCCCAGAGTGAATAACAACTGTAGGATGCAGGTACATCTAACTCACGAGTGATAGATAGGACAAAACGCACGTTTTGTATTCCACATCTAGCCAAATTTTATATATATATATATATATATATATATATATATATATATATATATATATATATATATATATATATATATATGATTATATCACTTTAATATCTGAACATTTCTCCCCTATTCTAGCTCAATTTTCTGTGAGCTTAAAGCAAAGTTCACTTAGTGAAGATGAAACGTCTTCCTTGTCATTATGGAAAGTTTTTTGGTCGGCAAATCCTGTAACTGAAATACAACTGCGAAATATTACTTCAAATTCCTCATATCCACTTAACAAGCGGTCTACCATGGAACGAGGTATCTTTCAGTTGTTACCTTCTAAATCGAATTCACTCAACCAACATAGCATTAATATTAAGTCAGTTAATAGTGTTGGCATTTTATCAACTAATGCTAATAACATGGAATTTCGTTCATTTTTAATACCTTTTCGTTTCAAACCTACTTCATATTGTGAAAATATTTTAACTCAAGATTGGCATTTGGATTTTTGGCTAGAACCATGCATACAAAACCAATGTCATTTTATATCCAAATTCAATTTAAAAGATTCAGTCACACTTTTAGTCACTTTAGAAGGCTCGGTAAGATAAAAATTTGATATTTTATACTATTATACATCGATGCTTGAAGTTCTTTCAATTCATGTCCAAATAATTATTTCGTTCTCCAACTACTCATTTGAATTTTTTATCTTGTAAAAATAGTGATAATTATGTAATTAGCGATGTTATAAACCAAACTACGTTAAATAACCATTAAGAAGCAGGAAGCACTGGACAGCTTTCTTGTTCCAACATAGGAAGCCCCAGCAGCACACATCCATGAACGAGCCTATGGGATCTGATCTAGCACCTTTTGTTTCGCTTGCGGACAGTTAATCCTTAGACTACTGAACCGACATTAAATGATACGTTAGTCCAACTTAGGTTGGCTCACGATATCAATAGTATCCAATAATCTCAAACTCCTATTCTGATAATTACATGGTTGTTTTACAAAACACATTGAATTTTTAATCTTTCGAGTATATTCATTACTAAGTTTCAGGTAAAAAATATCTGTGTTTTGTCATCAGCGGCTTCACGGATTGACTAATATATATTCAATAATCACTGTACATATATAAATAGAATTCACACTGTATGAATTACAATGTCCATTATGGAAGAAGTTTGTGTAGTGTTTCTGTCTAACACCAACTTGGTTTGAGTAATAATTCTGGCTATGGCTCAAGGAAATTAGACATCAACTTAAAACAATTTCTTTCCAGATGTCATGAAGTCCAGTTAGTTGGAAACATTAAATGGAATAACAACAAAGCTTTTTGTTAATGAGACAACAATCTGCTCTCAATGATATATTTAAGGATTCTTTCGTGTTTAGTGCACGTCTATTGTGTTTTCGTCTTCGTCCGTTGTACTGCTGTATTTGAGAAGTTATACCGTTTAACTGCATCTCATACTTCTAGTTCCAGTGAAACAGTGCATGGGATCTTCTTTAATTGCTCTGTCGTTATTATACGTTTTACCTGATACTAGTGTAATGGTTGATTTTTCATTACACATATTTTGTTTATTTTGCTTAATTTGTTAACCCTTTTTACAGTGTCATGATCAAGCAACAATGAAAGAATCTCCACTCACATACCTGCAAAGTATAGGCAACTACAAGTTAAAATACCCTCCTCCGAATTCCAAATGTTTTAATGATCGTACTTCGTTGATGATTGTTGAAAACACTTCGAAAACGGTTCATATTGGTCCGATTGATGTGATTGGCCTACCAGTTTCTTTTGACGCTATAGACTCCAATTCCTCAATAACATCTCGTTCTCACAATGTAAGTTCGTCGAATAAAGTACACATCTGTTTTTCCTACGAAGCTCCACGTTGTTACTGACTGACTTTCATCTTACAATTCACTCTTATTTTATACTTTTAGATTATATTGATCAATCGAATGAAGACAACTGAAGCATTCGTCAAATTGAAACATCCAAGACCACCATTCTACGTTATGGAGCCCAAGGAAATAAGGTTTTGTATATCGTAAGCTCGTGTTCAATAATCTTATTTAATTCCATGCTTGGAACAGCTATCTTTTTTTGTTTATTAGGAAGTAAGACAATTCTGTAGTTAACTTAATGCATTTAGTCTTTAAGGCTGTCATCTAATGATGACTTGGTCAATACGATAATCTTGCTAGTTTCTAGGTGGAAAACTAGCTTTATGACTATTCCAGTTTTTTTTCTACTACATGAATATTTCTTAAAACTAGTTCTGTAACTAGATCGTTTTACTATGAGTAAGTGATGCTGCCATCTCAAGTAATTATCGTTAGTCAAGTATTCTTGAATGGGTATCATCGTGATAATAAATACACTGAATATTCTTCCCATATCTTCTGAAATATTTAGACGGCATTTCACACTAATCAGTTGTAGGTTAATCGACTGTAGTAAAATTGAACGTTAGATTAAAAAAAGACTCATATTGTTTGTCCATGTCAGTTTCTCAAAGAGAAAATTTAACCGGAACACGATAAATTATACAAATCCCAATGGACACTTAACAATAGAGTGATAACTAAGTAATATATTTGTAATATCCTAAGGCGTGGAAAATCTGATTTTTCTACTCCTTGCGATGTTACAAATATATTACTTATTTATAACAATGTACCCAATGTTCAATTTGTACGAAATTATCAAGTTAAATCTTAGTAATGATACCTACAATCGAGTGATAAATCTGAAGATTCTGTTCTTGAAATATTGGTGGTTAGTAACCTGAACATACTGTTTTTATTTCACAATTGATAATTTGTTTTAACATTTTTAACACTAGACCTCGTTCTCGTGTACGAATAGTGCTTAACTTTCGACCATACACACTAGGAAAATCAAGTTCCGTTTTGGGAATCAGTGTTGAATATCACAAACAGGAAAATTTATCTGTGGAAAACCCCAATTTTATTGTCGAACCAACTATCGAATCTTTCCAAGTTCACTTATTCGGTACAATGAATTAACTTCAAATCTTTCTTATTCCTTGTATTTTACAACTGTATGTTCTTACTGGTGATTTTTATATATATTTAATATTTCATACACATAGTTCCGTTCTTAATCTTGAAGCGAGCGAGAACAAAGACCAAAATAATATGAATCCATTTTGTTTCGTTGTCGTCAGCTGCATACAATCTGATATTTAAAAATCATCATATACAAAATAAGCTGTGAAATAATGCTACACTTAATGCATAGACGACATCCAAAGCCTAGGTTTGAAAAGAAAACTAAGTTTTTATTTGTCCATGTGAAAAATGGTCTTCCAAAAATTTTCTTGTACCTAATTGACCTTTAGTTCGCTGAAAATTTTTTACATAACACGCCAAGTCGGTGGGAAATTTGTGAGTGAAACATTGTCATTTTACAAAAAAACCTCACCAATAACGTCAAGTCGATGAGAGCGTTATTCCCATCAGTAGATCTATGATGAAGTTGAACAAAAATGGAGAAAGTGGACAGCCTTGACGGACGCCACTTGAGGTTGCGAAAGCAGATGACAGTTCGCCATAAGCTCTGACTCGACTAGTAGTGTTCGAGTAAAGAGCCTTCACAAGGTTTATGTACTTCTGAGGTACGCCTTTAAATGACAGACACTGCCACAGAACCTCTCGGTCTACAGAGTCAAATGTTGCTTTTAAGTCAAGGAAGACCATTGTCGGACGCCGATAAGTATGTCTGTGTTTTAGAACCTGACGAATGGTGAATATGTGGTCTATGCAGCCACGACCAGGTCTGAAGCCAGCTTGATTCTCTCGTATTTGCAGTTCACGAGTCTTAGTTAGGCGTCCGATAATTATCGAGGCTAGTGTTTTAGATACTATATTAGTCAAACTAATCCCTCTATGGTTGTCACAGGATGATTTTGACCCTCTCTTCTGTATTGAAACAATCAGTGATTGTGACCAGTCAGATGGGATAACATTCAACTTCCAGATTTTAGCCGAAATATTAGTCAACCTAATCGCTAAAATTGGACCACCATTCTTAAAGACCTCTGGAGCCAATCCACCTGTTCTTCCTTGCGTCAGACTAGCTATAGCTTTCTGAACTTCAGCTAGCGTGTAGTTTGGAACGAGATTTCAGTCGACTTTGGACCCGGGCGAGGTGTGCATTTTTAGGGTCGACATTTTCTAACCCCTCCCCTCCTTTTGGGAAGGCAGCATCGCTGTCATGCTGGTTGTCTGAAGGTAACGCCTTACTGCTGTCAAACCTCTGTAGAGTCAGCAGTACGACTTCGCCTTCGGACCTTGGGTTTGTTGCTTTTAGTCTTACCGCTCTTCAACTGACCTGTCTGGCATGGTAGGACCTTGAGGAACGGTTGTTCCAGCCAGTATAGCCCAGTTGCTTCATCGCGATAGGCAAGCCCGACCACCACGTCAAGGTAGCAACAACGGTCGGGACCAGTATCTGTACTATTTGATAGCGCCTGGTAGCATTGAAATATAAAAGGCAGAATGTTACTGAAAGGAGACTGAATACCGGTGTCGTGGAATGACGAAGTATGAACAGCTGACACTGAAATTTGAGACGAGTAATATAAACAAACTAGTAAGTATGCACCAAGAAAGCAAATGCACCTGTTGGGTAACTATGTATTGAACTTAGTAAATGCGAACGAGTTTTCGGCAGCACTGCATGGCTTTTCCAACTTGGTCATTGACGAACTTAGTGGTGTAATGCTCTTGGAATTATCTTAAAATATTTACAAAGGGCAAAGCTAACGAACAAAGAAGAAATAGTGAAGGATATGCCAGTCTATCGGTTTCTTAGCAAAAAAAGTAACCTAAGTGATGTGGACAGGATATGTTGTACCCATTTCATTCGGTTTACAATAAAATCACATAGGGTTGCTCACTATGGCTGACACCAACCAGTGGACCTACATGGCTCTTAACAACAACCAGCGAATTCGACAAGAGGACCTTCAGTCAGTCAATAACAACGTAGAACTTCGTACGTGCGAACATCAGTTCGAGTTGCCATACCACGTTAGCACAGAGATGCAGTTGTCGATGCAAATCCCGTAGTGGTAGAGGTGGTAAGAGTATAAGCAGTAATAGGAAAGATTAGGGTTTGAAGATGTTATTCAAGGAGTATAATACAGTGAAATAAATTTGGAAAGAGCAAAAAGGGAAATGAAGAATTCAGGGCCTAAGTTTGATAACTTGACCTTATCTATCGACGAAATCGGACATCAAGGTGCCCAATTTCACATGGTTATTTAAGCAAACTCTCTGTACCAAAACCAAAAAAAAAATGAATGAATTTTAAAATGCTCATTAGTGAGTAACTGCTTTGAAGTGTTTTAGAATATGCACAAAATAAAGTTGTTTATTCACAGGCAAAGATTCTCCCTTTTTCACGAGCTTTGTTTAGTTTCTTTGAAAGTTTTTTCGTTCTTCTTGCTTGAATATTGGTGTTTCTTTTATTCTGTCTCTCACGTTTCTTTTCTTCATTAGCCTCTATACGCTTCTTCCAGTTTCTAGCTCGTTTCCGTTTGAGTTTATGTACCTTATCAGCTGCCTTTTTCAAAAGTGACATGTCATCTTTAACCTTCACACCTGGAATGATAAAAATTAATTCATAAAATCAGTATACCTTGAGCTCTGAGTGATGCGATTTTCCACTTTTTGCGTATGATATCAACGGATGTCAGATCTGCATTGTTAGTTTCTGATTTTGAACTCTTGTTAGCTTTTTTCAACAATTTTACTGGGTCTCTGCCAACAAATATACCCTGCTTCTCGAGTTTAGCTAGTTTTCTCCCATTTTTCTTTTGAATTTGCTTTTGAATACCGTAATTTATGATTTCATTAGGGTCGTAAAGCTGGATCTTCGAGAAATAATATTTCCCAGGATTTAGTGGTGTCATATAGAAGCTTCAAAGAATGGTACAATTATTGCCTCAGTTTGTGGTTCTCACTACTAAAAGGGGGAAAATAACACATCTATAACCTAACTTGGAAATAACTTTTGAGATCCCAACAATATTTACTGTGTTTATTCAAAACTGGTAATAACGTACTTCAGCAATACTAGTGACATTCATTTGTAGTATAGAAATATCTATCAATTTACAAAACAAAAACACGGACTGCTAAGCAATGTCATAACTGTAAAGAAACAAGAAGAGGAAACAGGGAAACTGAAGATATTATGAGGTAAATTTTTGATCCCGATGAATTTTTGCACATTATGTACACTTTGGTGTTTATGAAAAATACATCAGGAAACTACTACAAGATCATTATTAAATTTCACACAGGATAATATCTGGTGAGGCGGAATGTTCGCACTCTATCTGGCTTAGATATTTCCAGAAAGCTGTCGTGAAATTAATAAATGTTAGAGACGTTGTTATGTTCTCTACTTGAATACGCACGATACACTATATAACTGATGACACTCGAATGTTAGAACCTCCAAACCTTCGCAAATAAGAAGACGAAAGACGTTTGAGAGCACTTATTGACAAGAATCAAAATATACAATAAAACATGCGTATTTATACAATTATATATAATCAATATTGCCATGGAAGTTTTTAAACATTAATCGACAACTTAAATATTTAAACATCTGATCGATAAGTCCGTTAATCGACTATGTACGTGGGTAGCTTCTCGGTGGCCATCCCAACACCTCCTCCCCGAATAAGACTTTTTCCTTGGGTCCACTTGTAGTCTTACGACTGGGTTGCGACGGCGTTTAATTCTGGTTGTAATTTTTCTAGGTAATGTCTCTAACCTTTTTTTCTTCGGTAAACATGAAGAGAACTAATGATCTAACAAAATCAAATTTTTCCACGGTTTAGTTGACAACTGTATGTTATCATCAAATCTTTTATTATGTTGAAGAAATATAGATCCCTTTTACATTGACAAATCCCGTCAGCGATAACGGATGTAAAATTTAAATGCACGTGCTTATATTTTTATACATTCATTTCGGCAATAAGACAAACAGATGATAAGCAGAGAAAGCAAATGTGCCTAATAAAAAGATAATGTGTAGCGCGACACATTAGATAGGGATTGAATAAAATAGTGTACAAAAACAAACAAATACATGAGACGTATAAATGTGGAACTACTAAGACGTGAATATGAAATATAAGTGCTGAAGGTCACAATTTCCTGTAAAAAAATGGTAATTGGTAATGTAAAAATGACGCAGTTGTCATATACTGTTTGAGTTACTGAAGTCTGTCTAAAAGTTGGGACCAGCCACTTATGTAATAAAATAGCTGCTAAAACCACCGCTTTCAGATCTTACCCATACAAAAACCCAAACAGCTATATATATACAGGCAGATTCTAATACTGATGACTACTTTAGTATCTCGTTATCTTAATTTGATGTGGGAACTGGTGCACATAAATACTAGATTTTACGTTGTGAAGACTGATTATTGCCCTATGTTAATGAAACCGGAAAAACTTAGTGTGTGTCATTACTGCAGAGATGAAGCAGCTCTGACTGATTTCGGACTGAAAAAATCCTATCATTCAAAAAAGTAGACGATGGCACCTGTGCACATCAGTCCAAGTTATTACATCCCATTAGCACAGCAAGACTAAATTGTCAGGGCGAATCCCAGAGTATTGAGGTAGTGACAGTATTATTGGTAACATGAGGAGATAGGCACTGAAAATACGACCTGTGAAATGAGAAAAATATATGACGGATTTGAAAAATTAGGAACTGCGGGAAGACAAACCGTGCATGCAAATGAGTCAGATGATGAGAAGTAGTTTTGCACACTACTGTACAGGCGAACGGACAAACCATTTTCTTAATTAGGCATTGAGCATGAAATTGCGACTTTCGGTATACAGTTGTCTGGGTCGCAAAACCATTAAGCGAGACATGAATATCCCGAGTTCATTGAAACTAGCGTTACATGTTTCGCTTAATTCTAAGCATATATAATCATACGGCCTAGAATTTGCAACAACTTTAACTTTCTGATAGTTTGTTAGTGAAGTCATCCTGATATGCAAGAGTCCCATGTAGTAAGGTTAAGCAAGAGGACGCCCTGTATTTTGTCTCCTTTATTTTCCTATGGTTATTTGACTGGCAAGTGATCAATGCAGCAGTGTCGACTTCGTGTACATCCTGTTAAAAAACGTATTTCTGATAATCAGGTTATAATGGAGTGATAGATGAAAACAAATTTATGAAATGAGGAGAATGGAAACAAAACACGTGCAATACAGTACGAATTTATATTGAACAACAAAATCTACGAACCCAAATTTAAATATGCTACCTGATCTTGCTGCTCTTTACATTGACAATTAAAATACATTTTATTGCTTGAGACTAAAATACCAGTTATGAACTTCAGTAATACGTTTTCATTGAACAATATCACTATAAGAACCAATGGAAGAACTATGAAAAAACTGGTAGAAACTATTGCTGATTCAAGATATATATATATAGTTATGTATGATAGATTTCACGCCATTTATTCACAGCCTAAAAGACCCAGTTCTGTAAAACTCGAATTGTTCTGGACGGGATAAAAACTTTCGCCCTACAGGTTTCCGTATCTAGAAGCAATGAATCACCGATACCTGTATGTGGGATCCTAGGTATATTAACGATAAAAAAGTTGTTAAATTAATCTCTCAGGCTTTCTCTCTAAGGATTCCCGAGAAGTGGTTTAGGCTAGCTGAGCCGGAAGCGAATCCCAGTTCTCGACTACTCATAAGGAATAGATGTGTGAACAGTCTGTCCCGCTGCTCTGTATCTCCAGTTTATGAGGCTTAGCCCTTAGTTGTGTTGAGGCTACGTTTTATTAGGTGCAGATCATCAACGTCGATGATCTCTGTCAAGCCATTGTGGGCTTATTCAAGTTACATAGTAATATTGTGACCAACACCTAGCGTCGAAACCACGCCTCGTGGCCAGCACCTAACGTCTATTATCTCTTCGTCGTATCAAGGTACAATGGATTCTTTGAATATCGTAAAACATAAAGGACGTTATTGCAGAAATATGCTATTTAAAATAGGTACAAACGAAAGCATGGCCACCATTTCCATGGCCTACGATTAATGGATGCGCGTCTGGTGTCCTTAACCTTGGCATTGATCAAATGGTTCAAATGGTTGTGGACGGTATAGAATAAGCTTTCGCTTAACAGGCTTCCGTTTCTAGTAGCAGGGGATCATCGATACCTCCAGGCAAGAACCTAGGTATACTAACCATAAAATAGAAAAAAATAAATTGGTAAATCATAGTAAGATTCTATCCTTAGTCCTTAAGAATAGATAAAGTCGCCTCTTAAAGGACTCCTGGGAAGTTGCTTGGACTAGCTCAGCCGGCGGCGAATTCCAGCATTTAACAACTCTTAAGGAGTAGAAGTTGTGTCTGCAGTCCGTTCTACTATGTTGTATCTCTGATTTCTGGGTGTAACCCCTTAGTTTAGTGTTGGGACTTAGCTTAAGTAGGTGTTTAAGAGGATTTCCAGAAGTGTTAAGGATACTGTAAGCCATTAGAATGTCACTTCTAAGACGCCAGCTTCCAAATATCTGGTAATTTGCCTCGACTTAGCGAGTGTGAGAACATCACGCTAAACGGTGTTGCCAGGATTGAAGCTGCTTCCCTTAGTATAGCAGAGTGGACCATATCTGGACCAGAAGAAGTGTCTATTCTTAGGTGCTGTAGTTTTCGGAGCACCAAGTCAGCGCTCAGTTTCACTGCGGAAAGTCCTGTGCAGTTGCAGATGAAGCCGTCATCAGTATAGTTGATGTGAGTAGGTTAAAATCTTAGAGAGTATTGCTCAGCCAGAAGATTAGCGGCGTCACCGTCATTATCGGTCGGGCCTTTAGGACCTAGCAGTTGGAAAACTTTAGTTTTGGCCTGACAGAGAGGCTGCGTAACGGAATAGGCTTTTCGGATCGGAAATAAATTTATCCGTAAGCTTTAACTGGCACTGAAGCCTGTCTTCTCTTATAGCCTTCATGCATATGTTTCTTATATGTTTGTATTACCTGTACTCGCCATTGCTGTTGATTCGTTTGTATTCTACCCAACAGTGCTTTTCACGTCTTAACAAACGAAGAGTGTGGTTTTCGATGATTGCAGGTTGCATGTGGCTTGTGGGGACCGTTTGAGGGACTGACTGCTTTGTAGCACATAAGAGCGTGTGCAGTAGGAAGTTCCAGTGAGCATCCACATCAAGTTGAGGGTGAACATCTCAATCCATCTGTTGTAGATAGTCCTGTGTATGACTCCGACTAGGCACCTCGAAGTAGTGGACAATCTCACAGAGCACCATATAGATTCCTCAAGACTGTCAAACTCATGGTTGTGAACTTGGTGTACCTCCAAGCCAGATCGTATGTATAGGGCTACTCCACCCGCAATTCCTGTTTTTCTGTCATTGCGAAACAGAGACATCCCAGGTATTGCTAGCTCCTGATCCGAGAACTGAGAAGATATCCAAGTTTCAGATATTCCTATCAGATGAACCTTATTAGCGTTGCTAAGTTCAGGTAGCTCATCCATTTTGTTTGGTTGACTCGCGGCGCTCATGTATAAGCAGTTAATGCTTTCAACTTGAAACGCGCGAGCTTCTGCCTGTTTGTCTGTGACAGCCTTACGTGAGTGGACGGGTAGTCTACCTATATAAGCTTTGCCTAATCGGCACTCCCTGTCCTCTACACGTTTTTTATCTTTAAGACAGTCTACAAGTAGAATGGTTGGCTCCAGCCTGCCTTTGTGCTTGATCCTGGCGTAATATGGCCTGTCCGGGTGCATGTGGATCCCAGTTGGCAACCGACGTCTGTCGGCACGAAATCCTTCCAGAGCTGCAGCCGCCATATGGGAGGATGGGAAAGTTATTCTCATTAGTCGGGG